TTAGACTATTGAAAATATATAGCTTAAAGCGGCTAATAATTTTGACCTTAAAATGGTTTTAAAAAAATTAAAAACTGCTTGTATTCTAGCTGAAATAAAACAATTAAGACTGCAGAAGAAAAAATATTATCAGACATACTGTGAACATTTCCTTGCTCTGTTAAACATCATTTAGGAAACATTTAACAACGGCGAGGCAGTGGCGCAGTGGGTAGCACGTTCGCCTCACAGCAAGAAGGTCGCTGGTTCGAACCTCGGTTCAGTTGGTGTTTCTGTGTGGAGTTTGCATGTTCTCCCTGCCTTCGTGTGGGTTTCCTCCGGGTGCTCCGGTTTCCCCCACAGTCCAAACACATGCGGTACAGGTGAATTGGGTAAGCTAAATTGTCCGTAGTGTATGAGTGTGAATGTTTCCCAGATGGCTTGCGGCTGGAAGGGCATCCGCTGCGTAAAAAAACTTGCTGGATAAGTTGGTGGTTCATTCCGCTGTGGCGACTCCGGATTAATAAAGGGACTAAGCCGACAAGAAAATGAATGAATTAAAAAAAAATTTAAATAAAGGCTGACTTCAACTGTATATAACTCCCCTAAACAAGCAGGAGAACATGAAGACAAACATGCATAAACATGGCATAAGCAATTTGCATCATCAACACGAGTAGAAATTAATAGACATTAAGATAACAGCCCCCAAAAACAAGCAGATCTATCTCCACGACATGTTTATTTAAAGGTGTCACTTTAAAAGGCCTGTACAGAAGCTGATCTGGGATCAGTTTATCATACGAAGCACATCCGTACACATGCATTCGCAGATTCAGAGGTTATATATAAAGGCCGATGATCAACGCACAGCTTCAATGAAAAGATTGTAAATGCAGACATTTTTACATCCATTGCAGTGTGCTTTCAAGATTAAAAATACATGAGAATCCATTTACATTTCCACCCATTTCCCCCTCCCACCATCACGCCCCTTCCGGATATTGAAACTTCTTATATCAAGAAGCATTATCTAAACAAGCAAAAAATATAGAAATAATAAGTCAAAATTAAGGGTGTTTCCTTAAAACAAGCAAAAATAATCTACAAGCAAATAATTCCTGCTTTGTCTTGAGTTCTTGTTTTTGTATTATTTAAAAAAAAACAAATCTCCACATGGATGTCTCCTCTTTGCACTGCCTTTACAGTAAACATGATCACACATCAACACAACAGCACAGAAAAACACCTGCTGAAGCGTATTTGATTTACAGAGACTGATAAAGACCATACTGAACAAAAGTACATCTTACCTGATATGAGCTGATATTGAGTGATCCTCGACTGACCAGATAGACTGCTTAACTAATACACTACCTGACTGTGTTGTGCTGTATATTAAAATGTTGTCTGTTCATGGAAATATGTTCCCAAGTTCCGACTATGATCTGCATTGTTTCAAATTCAAATTTAAAACAATGTCCAGTTCCACTGTAATCTAATTTTAGAAAATGTACGATTACGTTTTATATTATGCGGATAAATCATTTATGTATTTACAGCAGATGACACTACAGGTATGTGTTAAAGGGCTTAAGCTCTGAGTGTTTTAAGTAAAGCCTATAAAGTAGACTGTTTTAATGATTTTTTTTGTTAGCTTGTCTTTCTAATTCACAATTATGTAGAAAATTAGAATATTTAATTAGCTAATCTTGAAAAGTTCTCATATTTTGGAAGGCATGCAGATGAGGTAGGAATTTTATCTTTGTGAAATAATTTTTCCTGTTCATTAGTCTGCCAGTAAAGTAAAGAGAGACGGTTTTTATTTTAGACAGATGAGTTAGACATTAACCGTTTTGCGAGATCGTTCTTTATTTAGCATTTTTTTGCCTGAATATTTTAAAATAACAGTTTTAGTCCTTTTGTTGCTGTCAAGACATCCACCCTAAAATGGGGAGAGGAGGCTGTGACCATATTGAGAAATATAAATTTGCCCCTCCTCCTTTTAAAAATAGCCAATAGCATTTGTTTATATCCAAGTTCTGCCATCCAATGAGAAGATTAAGAACCAGTTGAAGAATCATATTTATTCATTTTGGTGTAAGCGTGATTCCCATTTACTTCTGTGGGCATCTGTCATTGAGAGAACACCTCTAAGGCCCCGTTTACACTAGTGTGTTTTAGTTTTAAAACGGTGTTTTAGATCAAAAACGATCCACGTCCACACTAGCGTTTCACCTAGCATTTCTATTTCCGTCCACACTACGCCACCAAAAACATATATCACGTGACCATTCGCACACTCTGGGCATGCGCGTTCTAGTATAAACAGGAAGCATGTGTCTCGCTCGGCATTTGGTTATTGTTAGTCAACAAACGCTGGTTGAACATTAAACACGATGGCAAAGAAAGCAAGAGAGGTCTTTTTGTGGACAGACGACGAGGTCGAGTTGTTACTAAACGTAACAAATGAATAACTGCACAATGGCGCCTAAAACAGACAATAGTGCAAACAATGCTCCCATTTCTGTGCCTATGTTGTTTACAGTGAAGGCTGGTCTGCTGTCTCCCGGTAGTGTTAAAGCCATGTGTTATAGTCATGTGATAGGGGCTTGACGAATAAGGGAAGGATACACAATGACACAAAAGCCCCAATCAGGTAGCGAATCTCAGCAGCCCCGCCTCCGTTTTCAGATGTCTCCGTTTTCCCCCATCCACTCTGAGACGGAGCAGCAGCGTTTCACAATGAAAACAGCATTTCCAAAACGCTCCCTTTTTGGCACTCGAAAACTCTGCGTAGTGTGGACGGATGGCATAACCGTAGCAAAACTTATGCATTTTCAAACTAAAACGCATTAGTGTAAACGGGGCCCAAATATACAAACAGCTTGCCATTACATGACGCCTCGAACAAAGCTGCTGTTCAGGTGTGAGAGTGACAACAACAACATCACTGCTGATCTTTCTGATGAGCATGTGCACTGAGAAGCCTTATATACACTACAAACAAAACTGCAATTCTAGAGCTTTGTAATCAAATAAGAATGCATACATGCCAAAAAAAACTTTAATGCAACAACAGACACCATGAAAATAAAATTTTAACATTATACACATCACCAAAGTGTAGATAAAACGCAAATAACAGAATTAATGCCATGTGTAAATAAACTTTTACTGTAATGGGAGATAAAACTGATTTGTGCAAATGATTTACACTGATTTGTGTACAGCCAACATTTATATGTGTTTTGCACTGACCACAATAAAATAATAGCAGATAATCTATTTCATAAGCCCTTAAAGCAAACAGAAACTTGTACAGAGTTACGGTTCTTCAGAAGTCAGTAAACATTTTTCCCCTCCACATAGAAATCTTAAATCCTTATAGATGAAATAAAAAAGCTGACAGGTTATACATGAATAGTATTGACTGTTGTTTTATCATGTGACATTTAGCATGCAAAACCCTGTCTCTAGTTTTTAAATCACTTGGATTGTCCTGAACATGATGCTCAGCGCTGTTTGCGTCCAGAGCACAGAAATGTGAAGCACTTCCAGTACTGCTGCCTGATCTGGACAAGAATGAGATGAGAAGAGCTGAGTGAGAACAATTTAAGCTCTGAATCTCATCAATGATAAAGTCACTAGAAAAAGGTAAACAAAAATTTTAAAAGTCTAGCAGCCAGATTTACTCAACTGTGCAAATTAGCTCAATAGATAAGCACTGATAGCTGTAGGAACACCTGAAAACACCTAGATAAATTTTTGCATAGATATAGATTTTGATTAAAAATGTCTGACCTCATTATTGAGCACACAGTAGATCAGGAAGATGAAGGTTCCCTGCTGAGAGTTCAAGATCAGGAAGAGAATCTGCAGCATCTCACTGCTATTAGTGAAGAACCCCAGAATCCAAGGACAACCAAGAACCACAAACTGACCCAGTGTTTTAAACACCATAACCCTGCAGAGAAACAGAAAAGGACATTTAGTCTGTACTATTTGTTATTTTCAGAGAGCGATTAACTCAGAATGTTTGTTACTTGGTTTGCTTCATCTGTGAAACTTCAGCGTTCAGATTTGAGAGAGCTGATTTCAGAATGATGATGATCCTGATGAAGAGAATCAAGTTCAGCTGTAGAAAGATTAAGAAATGATCAGTTTTTGTTGATTTGAACAGGTCATGAAACAAAAGTGTCTGTGACTAAAACTTACTGCTAGTATGACACAAACAGGACCCAGAAAACTCCAGATAAACCCTTTATCATATTTAATCCAGCATCTGATTTGAGGAAAGCACAATATAGTAAATTAATACATTGATATAGAAGAACAGATAGTTACAGATTTTAAGCTGGAATGTGACATTGTTAACAAATTTATTTTTAATCAGAAAGCAGAAAACAGTCAATGAACAATACAACTCACTGTTCACTGCCGTATCCTTCTGGAACCAGCCCAATAGACACACACACCACAACCAGAGCAACCAAATATCCAATCACACACAGGAACCCACTGCTAAGCACCTCCTTCTTTTTGGAGCTGATCTGTGATAGGTTCTTGACGCAGATGAAGAGCAGCACAGCTTCAATGAACATCCACACAAAGGCGGAGAGGAAGAGGAAGTGCAGAAGGCCTGCTATCACCACACACAACACCTGGAGAGCATGAGAGAGAGGGTTATGATGATTCTCAGTGCGGCTGTGCTGAGCTGTAGAGCTCCTTCATCATTCTCACCTGCTGAGGGCGAATGAGGCTCAGGAACTGTTGTGTGAGCAGAAACAGAAGGTGAGCCGACAGCAGACTGATGCAGATGTTGATTCGAGCCACATTATTGACTCCAGGACTCCACTGACAAAGAGCAAAGGACAACAGAGCCAAACTGAAGAACACCAGACCCACGATCACACACACCAGACCCAGCAGCTCCAGCAGATCGCTCTGAGAAAACATGCAGAGAACATGAGTGCCAGATCTGTGCTGCTCTTCAATGCTCTCTAGAAATGTTCTGGTACCGGTGGTGGACTGCTGCTGGTCTGCATGATGAGAGCGAATGTGGACAGATGAACACAGGAACACACAGTGTGGCTGCTGTTGCTGTTTAACACAGAACAACCATCTACAATCCACTCGCTGATATTCCAGTACACACAGGACAGAGAACCGCTGGGCTCAAACTCCTGCAAGAAGAAGAAGAAACAAGCAGAAAATATGAGCAGAGTGAATATTAGATGTGTTCAGATGTTGATCAGTGCTGATGTTGGACTAAAACACATTTCAGTCTCTCACTCTGATGTGTCTGAAGGTGAAGTTGACTGCTTTGGTGAGTGCAGTGTTGCTGGTTTTGGGAAGAGTAGCTGAGATCACAGTGGACATCATGGTTTTAATGGTGTCATTAGTTGTGTTGAAGAAGTCGGCCTTCAGTAGATTCTCCATTGTGGTGTAGCTCATGAAAGCCACAGCAGCAGATCCTGTGAGACAGAAACAGAGGCTTACATGCAATATTATATGCTAATAACAAATTCAAAAGAGTAAATGTGGTTTAGTGGTGGTGAAATGAGGTTTCATTATACATAAATCACTGATTACACCAAACATTTAACTCACTGTCATTGTTGTTCTTGGCGATGCCAATAAGATCGATGTTTATAGAAGAATTTGTTGTGTAAAGTTGAGGGATTTTATCTAAGGTCACCTGTGGTCCAACCATGAAGACTTTTCCCTCTGATGAAAAACAAGCATGCTGTTATGTACTAAAATAATTTGCTATATTTATCTCCATCTATTAAAGGTTATGCAAAAAAAAAAAAACATTTGAGAAATTGATTCTACATAGATTCTCAGATTTTCAAAGTGCATCACTGTTACCTCTTGAATAGATTCGGAGCTTAGTTTTTTAGCAGCAGATGGCACTGTATTCTTTACAAACAGCCATACTCTCCTTGCATCTACACTGTATATACCAACTGTCAGAATCATGTATTCCCTTATACAGTACTATTTACTAAATAAAAATATTTATATTTGAATCTTCTTGTTGCCTGAATACTCACTTTGTTTGTGTGTGTGCAATGTGCACAGGTTCAGTTCACTAGTTTTAGCTACTGTTTATTATTATTATTATTATTAATGTTAGTATAATTAGTGTTTAGGTGAATCCTCAGTTTGAGCGAGTCAAAGAGGAGCAGGTCTGAGCTGGTGTGTTTGAGTCTCTGATATATAATCTCAGGTTCATCATCAATAATAACAGTGTCTCCACTTACCTACAGCTGCAAGAGTGAAACTGACATTGGCACTTGTGTCTGTCGGCTTCACCAATGTAGAAATGAGTTTCTCGCTGCTTTTCAACACTTTAGTTCCATATGAGGCTAGCTGAGCTGGACTGGCTGATGATGATGATGATGATGAAGACACTGAAATCTTCTCTGAAGCATTGAAGGCCACAGTCAAAATGTCGGTCACCTTCTGATTCATTGATCAAACAAACACACAAATGTAAAGACAGACAATAAGATAAAACTGCTCTGCCAGTCAACTCTAACAGAACTGACTTTATAATGTTTCCCCATCTAGGGAACTTCAACACTGCGTCTAACCAGAACACTAGGGGAACATCTCTTTTATACGCTCCTCGCGGTTCAGGTCCCGCTCATGCTGAGGCTGAGCATTGGCTTAGATCCTGGGGATCACAGTTTTATCTAATGGACGAGGTGGAGACAGACTCTGTCCTTTCTTTGCCTGTATCCGTGAGATCTAATCCTCCCTCGGGAGCGTCAGAAGCACACTCTGCAGTTTCTTCTGCATCTCGTGGGAGGTCGGCGTCCTCCGTTTCTGAGGAAACAGACACGCCATTGCAGCAAAGGCAAAGAGGGTCGGGGGAACTGCCGCCCCAGTCAGTTGAATATGAGGTGATGTCACACTCTGCTGAAAGGTTTGATGCTATAGACTGGCAGCCAGCACATGAAAGGCAACAGTTGCGTCTGATGGGTATGCTGGATGAGAGAGAATTACCCAGCAGATTTGATCCTCCACAAAGGGACCTCCCCTTCTATCCTGAGCTACATAACCCTGTGACAAAATCATAAAATAATTCATATTTATCTTGTTTAATGACACCATTAACAGTCATTTATTTAGTAGTTCCCTTGTCATCTAGACCATTAAGAGTCACTTCTGGTCTAGTTGGCAAAGTGTATATGACGGCTGGTCAGTCTGTAGGATACCTGCACACTATGTCAGTGTTGTAAGCATATCAGGCTGACCTACTTAAAGAATGTTTAGACGGTGGGGGAGCGACACCCGAACAGCTTCAAGAAGCTCTTTGGGCATCCGACTTAGCTCTGAGAGCTACTAAGGAGGCGGCCTCTAATTTGGGGCACTCTATGGCAACCCTGGTGGCTATTGAGCGGCACCTATGGCTGATGCAAGCAGAGGTGTCAGAAACTGATATGGCTATTTTTATGGAAGCTCCAATTACGATCTCAGGGCTATTCGGCAACGCCATCAATTCCATCCTTTGATAGGGTGAAAAAGCGCTCTAGCTCCCTCAGGGGCTTTCTTCCCCCACGATCCAAAAGTCGGGGGGCTGCTAAAGAACAGCCCCAGCTGTCAACCAGCTTCTCAAACTGTGCGGTACAAAAGGAGAGCGTCACTTCTCAGACCCCCCCTCAAAAAAAAATGGGCCTGGAGAGCACGCTCTCAGCCTGAGCCTTCCTTGAAATTACCCATGAGGACAATAGGAATTTCAAGGAAGGCGAAGGATAAAAGGAAGTCCTGATGTGTTGTCAGGACACAAAATACAGTTTTGTGCACGCCAGCCTCACTTAAAAGATGTTACACGCACCGTAATAAGCCAGAACAGGCTATGGCTATGGAACAGGAAATACTGGCTCTATTTAAAAAAGGTGCAATAGTGTTCTCCCACTCAACAGAGAGTCAGGGTTTTACAGCCAGTATTTCAAAAAAAGGATGGGGGACTGCGTCTGTCAGGGCCCCGAGGTTCAGGATGCTAACCATCAAAAAGGTGGTGTCACAAATTTAGTCAGAGGACTAGTTTGTCACAATAGACCTGAAAGACGCATACTACCCTATATCCATCCTTTCCCAACACAGGAAGTACCTGAGGTTCGCTTTCGAGGGCGAAAATTTCCAGTTTCGGGTTCTTCTATTTGGCCTAGCTCTGTCACCTCAAATCTTCTCCAAAATAGTAGAAGCAGCACTAGCTCCACTTCGTATGCAGGGTATACGTATCCTAAACTACATAGACGATTGGCTGATTCTAGCTCTGACTCATAATATGGCAGTCCGACATCGAGATGTCATTCTCACCCATATCAGAAGGTTGGAGTTTCGGTTGAACATCGCAAAAAGTGTTTGTTCCAGCCAGGACGATGATTTTTTAGGTGTGCTATGGGACTATGCTTGATGCGAGGACATTTGTCCCCGCCACAAATTGCTTCAATTCAATCAGCCATACACAGAGTCAAACTAGGCCAGTTCATCACTGTAAAACTCTTTCAGAGGTTGTTGGGCCTCATGGTAGTAGCAGCCAGCGTGATTCCATTTGGTCTAGTGTACATGAGACCCCAACAGTAGTGGCTTAAATCCAGGGGGTTTTTCCTCAAGGGGAATCCTGGGACTGGATGCCATGGTGCAGATGTGGCCGAGGCTACGTCTGTATACTTTTTGCCTGGTCGCACTTCTCCAGGAGTCCTGGAGAGGGTCCATCTAGACAGAGTTCAGTTACTGCTGGTAGCCCCATTTTGGCCTACAAGAATTTTGTTTTCAGACCTCATAGCCCTGCTGGCGGGTCTCCCATGGGAGATCCGCATCAGAAAGCATCTTCTGTCTCAGGCGGGAGGGATGATACTTCAACCTCGCCTGACTTATGGAAACTATGGGTGTGGCCTCTGAGGGGGCCCACCTCATAGAATATGGATTGTCAACCGAGGTTGCTCAGACCATTCTAAGCCCCAGGGCTCCCTCCACACAGAAGCTTTTTGGCCTCAAATGGGCTCTCTATTTGGCTTGGTGCAGAGAACACCAGCTGAACCCAGTCAGCGGTCAGGTAGTCTCAGTGCTGGAATTTCTCCAAGATCGCTTGTCTGCTGGGTTAGCTGCATCCACTCTGAGAGTGTATGTGTCAGCCATAGCGGCCAACCGTCTTCCCCTAGATGATTAGTCACTAGTGCAGGATCTGCTAATTCATCGCTTCCTATGTTGAGCCATAAGGCTAAGGCCTGTCAGCACAAACAGTGTACCTACATGGTACTTAACATTGGTACTCTAGGGCATCTCTGTTCCCCTATTTGAGCCACTAAAGGAGGCGTCAGATACATTTCTTACACTGAAAACAGCTTTTTTTGTTAGCTATTTCTTCCCTGAAAAGGGTTGGTGACCTCCAGGCTCTGTCGGTTGCACCTTCATTTCTAGAGTTTGCTCCGGGCATGTCTTAAGCTTTTCTTTACCCCAGACCGGGGTATGTGCCGAAGGTTTTTACTCATTTGGCGAAACCTGCTGTGCTGCAGGCCTTTAATCCGCCCCCGTTTCAGTCGTCAGACCAAGAGAAATTGAATCTACTCTGCCCAGTTAGGGTTCTGGATACATACGTTAACACTGTTATTAATTAGAGAAAGAGTGAGCAGTTACTGGTTTGCTTCGAACTCTCAAAGAGGGGAAGTCCGGCGAATAGACAGACCATAAGAAATTGGATAGTTGAGACTATCTCAATTACTTATCTGGCTGCTGGACATACTGCACCTAAATTTGTTAGGGCCCACTTCACAAGAGCTGTAGGGTCCTCCAAAGCTTCTATTTCAGGCTCTGCCCTTTCTGACATTTATTTGGCAGCAGGATGGTCGACACCACATACAATTGCGCATCACTATCAACTTGATGTAGACCCCTCCCCAGGGTCCTCTGTTCTACATGCGTAGTGTGCGTTCACAGTGAGCAACGAGTTTGGCCTAGTGGGTATTGCGTCCCCCTAGCGCTCTAGTTAGACGCAATGTTGAAGTTCCCTAGATGGGAAATGTCTCAGGATACATATGTGACCATAGTTCCTCGAGAGGGAACGAGACACTGCATCTTCCGCCATACTCTCTTCTGCCTGTTACTTATTTCAAGCAAATTTGAAGTTAACACTGAATGCTCAGTGCAGGCTTTTATACTCTCTGGTCTGACGTCACCGCTTTATTACATTAGATTAATTTCACATGTGCTTCAAGACGCGTATAAAAGAGGTGTTCTCCAAGCGTTCTGGTTAGATGCAGTGTCTCGCTCCCTCTCCGGGAACTATGGTTGCACACGTAACTCGAGACATTCTCTTGAAGACTTACATTCAGTGGAAGCTCTTGAGCTGTAATGTTCTCTATCTGCTCAAGAAGATTTTTTAGACATCCTCCAGAGCTCTGACTCTGAAATTACAATTCAGCTTTATACAGTACAGAAATCATGACCTCAATCATGTTTCACAATATTAATAACAAACAAAAGCACAAAACCATCAGAAATAAACAGAAAAGCAAAAGTTACAACATGCAAACTTACAACACACATATCAACACACAGCTCTCTAAACTATTAGGCGTATATTTCAGACACTCAACTTACAGAACATCCTTCCTGCAGGGTGATATTTATAACTGCAATAAGAGAAAATCACAGTGAACACAACAATAACACAACTCACATGAAAAAGATGTTCTAATAATGTCTGCCATGATCTGCAACTGTACATCTCAGATCCTCTTTAATCCTTCATCTTTGTCCAGAGACACAAACACACTCACACACCTGTTCAGTTCTACACACTCAGTCCAAACACACTCAACAGAGGAATCATCAGACTACATTACCAGCTGAGCTCGTCTGTGGTGTGACTGTTGTACTGGTGCTGCTAATGTTGGACACAACTGGAAAACAGTCAACAATCAGACTGAGCATACAAAGAAAACATGAACGTATTAGCAGCAATTTATATTATCTGACGATTCAAGATGGTGGAAGAGGTGTCGCGCATGAGCGGGTGTGGTGGATGGCAGAGGGGTGTCGCAGACAAACGTGAAGAGGGTTGGGAAGTCGCAGAAAAAAGTGAAAGTGAACAACAGAAGTGGGTGGAGGGCTGTTGAGGAGGATCGGTAAAATAAGGTGCTGGATCAGATTTCAGAGGTGCCCAATCCAGCGTGTTCTGGCACAAACTAAGCCCTGTATATACTACTGATCAGTGTTGTGACGACACAAAAGTCACATCTACCTGACCATAGGTACCAGACCAAAGTATACTAGACCATATTCATATTCAATTAATCAAAACTCTGTTCTTCATACATAAAGCATAAAGGGATAGTTCAAACAAAAACCTAACATTTCTTCACTATTTATTATGGCTTTCCTTTTTCTAAATTTGTTTTTAAAATTAACAAACTATTCAGAAAAAAGAAACTCCAACAGCTTGAGTAAATAGTGGCAGAATT